CCCGGCGGCCGCGCTGGGCCGGTGGCGGGCGGGCGGGCGGGGGGTGGCGGCTCCATTTTCCCCCGCGGGCTCCATCTCCCCTCCCAAACCTCCATCCCCGCCCGGGGTTCCGTCTCCCCGCTCGGATCTCCGCCTCCCTCTCTCCCCGGGGGTCTCCATCCCCCCGCGGCTCTGCCCGCGCTCCCCCCTCTCGCTGCCCGTGTGCTGCCGCATTCCCGGCCCGTTGCCGGCCCGCGCGGGTCCCTCCCGGCGGGGTGGGTGGGCCGGGCTCGGCGTGGTGAATCAGGCGATGGGGAGCGCAGGCTGGGTGCCGGCTGCTGGTGAAAGTGTGGCGGGGAAGCGCGGCGGGTGTTTACCTCCGGCCGGGGCCGCCCGCAGGCTGAAGCGGGGAGGAAGCGGCAGCAGCAGCAGCGATGGCGCGGCTGGTGGCGGTGTGCCGGGACGGCGAGGAGGAGTTCCCCTTCGAGAAGAGGCAGATCCCCCTCTACATCGATGACACCCTCACGGTGAGTCCCCGCCGCCCGTCCCGCCGTGCCCGCGCCTCCCGCGTGTTGCAATTGCCAGGCCGGGCCTTTCCTCCTTGCCGGGCCTCGCTGGCTCCTCCTCGGGCTCCTGCAGCGTTAATCTCCGGCACTTTGCAACACTTGGGGTTAACAGAGCTGAATGTGGCAACTTTTTTTTTTTTTTTTTTTTAATCTGATGGCCGGCTCTGAAAGCGGGCGAACCGCATAACGAGGGAGTTATCGCTGTGCCGGGGCCTGTGCACGAGTTGTGCCGGAGCCACGAGCGTGGCTCGGTGCTCAAGGGTGGAGCAAAGCCATTTTTCTGCTGGGAAGGAAGGGAGCCATGTTAACGTTAAACCCGGCTTAAAACCGCCTGGTTGTTCCCATCTCGAACAGGCAAGAAAAGGCTGAAGGCATTTTGGAGAGCTTTGGCGTGAAGTCAGGGTTATCGAGCCTGCAGAAATGTAACAAATCGGAGAGTTCCCGTTTCAGGGTGTTGCTGGGAGTTGGAAAACGTGGTTTGGCCGTTTCCAGAAGATTCAGTGGAAAAAGCAGCTAAATGCGGCGTGGAGGTTCTCGGGTCCTTCTCCTCGTGAGTTTAGAGGAAGGTTCAAAAATTGGATTGTAGGAGAACGCAAAAATTGTATTGTAGGAGAACACGGAGCAAATGGAAAAAAAACTCTCTAACTGGCCAGTTGCTCTTTGTTTTAAGTCTTAAAGCAGGAAAATGCGTGGAAAATAATATTGCACTTAGTGTAATTTGGTATCTTAATGATTCATGTTTGATTTGTCTTGATACTGGGACAGTAACTGTTGTTACTTTAAGTGATGTGGGGGTGATTTAAATTCCTAATCTAATGTTTAGGATGGAAGAATCCCTGAGTTTTATCAGCTAAGGAAGGTGTCCCTGCACATGGCAGGGGAGTGGAACTGGATGATTTTCAAGGTCCCTTCCAAGCCAAACTATTCTTCCACCTTCCAGAACAAAAGTGTTGAATGTCCTCAGAGAGGCCCCATCTGGTTTTGCTGCATTTGAAGGAAGTCCTGTTGCTGTATTTTAGTTTGGATCAATTTGAATGGTGGCATATTAATTTACCAAATATAATCACTGGTTTTGGCTTCTGTCTGGTTAGCTGTGTCCAGGTATTAGGCAAAGTTTCCCCTCAAGCTGTCCAAAGCAGTATCTGCCTCTCCTAGGGGGCTGATGACCTGGAAAACCCAGCACTGTGCAGGAATAGTGCAAGTTGGAGTTTTTTGGTGTCTTGGCCACACCTTGAAAGTTGTTTTGCCCATTCATTTTCCATGTGGTTTTAAGCTCTTGGATTTCTCTCTCTTTTTTTTTTTTTTAATTTAAATTTTTTTTTAATCCTTCTTGGACTCCTTATAAAAATTAGCAATTAGTTTGTGTCATGTAGACTTGCCATGCTCTTGTTGTTTTTGTTGTGTGTAATAGGTTGAGAGTGAAAATTCAGCTCTACCAGGTGGATGACTTCAGCAGACCTAAAACGCCATTTGTGGTTTAGTCCCAGAATTTAATACCAGGCCCAAACTTTGTGTAATTGCACTGTGTTGTTGCTGCCTTTCTGCTTTTTACACCATCCTCATGATTGAAAGGGTCCTGTAGCTGTGAATCAGTTTTCTATCCATATATATATCTATAGAAAAGGCATTTATGCAAGTGCAAGTCATCCTCACCATGAAGAAATCTTACCTTGTGTCTTTTTTTTTTTGGTCATTCTGCTTCTGTTGTTACAGAATATTTGGATTTCTAGGTGGTTTCTGGAGGCTTTTATTTAAAAAAAATCTGCAGCAGCAAGTGAATGAACTCTGAGCTTCCTTGTCTGTCATCTATAATTTATTTTTTAAATACTTAATGAGAGCTATTACAAGACATGCAGCTGTCTTTGAAACAGAATTTTACATCTGCAGCACTATCTTTAAAAACTAATGGTGGTTATTGATAGCGACTGGCTTCTGTTACCTCTTTGAAAACTCAAATTTTAAAAATAGTGGGAGCAGTCAGCTGAAAGAGTTAATCTGTGCCTTAAATGTGGAATCAGTGATTAGTGATTGCAAATTAGGAGTGAATGGCCCATGTGCTCCTGGTCTGGAATGTTGCTTTGTAGTAGCCCAGGAAGCAGCTCAGGTGCAGGGAGATGCTGCTGCCCTGAGTGGATTCTTCACCACCTCACTTCCCTGTTCCTTCTGGCTCAGCCAGAAATTAAAAGAGGTTTCAATATTGAACCCTTTTCATTTCTTAAGCAGCTTTTATGGTTTCTAGAAGGCATTCTATTTGATGTGGTATTACAGGATTTTTTTTTTTCCTTCCAGTTCAGGGTGTGATGGTGGTTGATGTTCAACCACTTAATAAAATCTCATCAGACACATGAATTAATTTAGTCTTTGATTCTTTTTGCTCTGTCGTACAAAATACCTCAGGGTGTTGTCTGATAGTGGCAGATGAAGGTGAGGGGGGAGAAATAGGCAGATTTATCTCTTGTCTCTGTTATTAGCTGATAGAGCCTTTACTTTTGCTTGTAGCTCCTGGCCCACAGAAACACCACATCAGTGATGTAAGAAACGTGCAAATCTGCAGCAGAAACCTGTGTGGATGGATCAGGGCTGAGGGAGGCTGCCGAGGGAGCTGGGGTTAGGATTGGCACTGCCCTGCACACAGATAAGGCAGCTGTGCCAGCGCTCAGATTGGGGCACACGGGACAGCAAAACAGTGCCTTGTTCTCAGAGAAATGCTGTTTATTTTGGAGTGGTGCTCGGTGCCTGCAGAAAGTGAATGTGTAGAGTTGGTAATTAGGCAGGCAGCAGGGAATTCTGCCTTCCCTAGACAGCTGAGGGGAGGTGGAAGGAGGAAAAGGGGTGAATCAGACAGTTCTGGTTGGTGCTCATTTGCATTGGGGTTATTAACCACGGTTGTTATTTTGCCTTTCAATTTTAAAGTGAACTTTCAGTATTCATATTGACAAATTCACTGTTTCTCGGTTTGGACAGAGAAGAGAACTCAGCCAGGCTTTACACATTTTTCTAGTTGCTTTCATTCTATTCCATGGTTGCACAGTTAGATTTTTGACTGAAAGTTACTTTCCTGATTTCTGCCTCCTCCCAAGAAATTGCCCTCTTTGTTTCTCAGTAATTTGATAAGAAATGTTATTAATTACTTACAAGTAATCACATTGTTCTGTAGGCTTAACATTTTGCTTTGAGCCTTTTGAGAGTTGCAGCTGCAATCACACAAAGCAAACTATGCCTTGGAGTACCTTGTTGGGTTAATATGGTTTGAAATTAGCCTTTGGAGGAGTTGACTCTGTCATTAAACTGTTGTGACTGTTTCCTCAGAGCTTTATAAATTGAGTTAAGCTGTTGGGTCCGTTTGGATCTCAGTGTGTTAAGTATTCTTCTTTTTTTTTTTTAACTGAAGCAGGGTCTCAAGTCATGCAGATGATGGACTGATGGTCCATTTAGCAACTTTTGCTTTCTAACAGCTATTTAAGAGTTGCCATTTATAAACTGCCTCTAGAACATTATATTAATGAAGCATTTATTACTTTGCTGAAACATTCACTATCTGGAATAGTTACTTGTATCCTTTCCCAAGCTCCAGTAATAATGTGAAAAGAATGAGCATTTAACATAATTTCAGTCTTATTTCCCCCAAGAAAGTAAAGCAACTAATGCTTTGGTTTTTTTATTTGTTTGTTTGTTTGTTTTGTCTGAAAGCTCCTCTTTAAATTGTTTTTCCTCTCTTGTATAGATGGTGATGGAATTTCCTGATAATGTGCTGAACCTCGATGGACATCAGAATAACAGTACACAACTGAAACAGTTCATCCAGGTAAATCATGTTTCCTAAGAAGTGAGATTTTGGCTTTCCTCAGGTGTGTGGTTTTTGCTTCTCCAGGAGGTTGTGACTCCTGGAATGCCTCAGACACGTCAGCACCTGGGAGCAATCACACGTTGGTACCAAAGTGCACTGGGCTCAGTTGTGCTCTGGATTCCTCAGCATTTATTGCACGTTGTCTTGTCAGGAGGCAATTGCTGCATGTCTGAGAGCTCAGAACTCACAGTGGGAGCTACAGCATCCTGATTTTTATTTTTCTGAGCAGTTTTGAACTGCCCTTTCAAGTGGATTGCTCAAGGTTGGGTTCTTATGATTAGTGCCCATACTAGGATAGAATTTATGTGCCAATTTGTGGATTTTATAGAGATAAGTAGTGAGAATTGGTTTTGTGGTACCCCAGAAACCTTAATCCTATAAACTGACGTGCCAAATTCTGGCAGATAACTGCAGCACTGTGACACCTGTAGCAGCTGCAGAGTGGTGCCACTTGATGTCCAGAGGAGCAGAGCTTGCTGCTCTGCAGTTGCATGGTTGCCTCTCTCAGGGCTGCCAGCAGCAGTGCAGACATGTGCTGCATGCCAAGTGCAGCTGGGTTGTGAAAATAGCTCGTTCCTGCTTTGCTGTGTCTCCTGCAATTAATTACAGGAAACAGGGTTATTGCAGAGTGATAGTGCTTGGCAGGTGATTTAATGGGCCTTCCTCTGAGAGCACAAACCTTAAGTGTTACCTGATGGCACCTCTGCTTTCCATATTGCATGGAAGGAGCTGAGAGCACTTTGTCCTTTCAGGGAATGGGAGTTCTGCTGTATTGTGTGGTCTTTTCTTCCTTTCCCCAGAAGTTGTGACAATTCCTTTGTGCCTGGGGAGTGTTTGGGTGGTGTGATGTGACAATAACACAGAAAATTCTCTGTGCAGGTACAACTCAAGTGTGGGTTTGTGTGTTGGGGTGTCAGGAAGGGACTCTCTGCTCTGCACAGCTCTGCTGGTGGCACTCCAGTGCTGCTGAAAGCCAAGGCAGTAATTCAGCAGTGAGGACTGAAGGGAATGTGCTTTTTGTGAGGACGTGTGCCTGGATGTGTTTGACACAGGGGCCAGGAGACACATCTACAATTGTTTATTGACGTAAGCAATATTAGAAGGTGTTCTCATTAATGTTCTATTAATAGCACACGTTGGATGTTCACTACTGAAGTCAAAGGCTTCACCCTGAGTAGTAATGTGTGCTTTCTTTAATTCCAGCTAGTAGGATTGTAACGGGAAATGGCATTTAGCCTTCCAGGAAAAATACTGCTAAATTGTCATGGTCTGAGCAGAACGAGTTGGTTGTAAATGAGATTTCCATAAATGCCAAGGAGCCTTTGTGAATTTCCTTTCCATGTGCCAAAGACAAAAGGAGTGTGAGTAGAAATTGAAAACTTGCAGTTGGTGTGTGTGTGTGACCTTTTCCTACAACATCTGTGCTGAGGTGGAGACAAAGAATTTCCCAGTTGGGACGGGATGGTTTTTGTGGGAGCATCCCATTCTTGGGACGGTTATTCTGAAGCAGCATTTGCGGTGAAAGGAGGCAACAGAGAGGTGAAAAAAACAGAGAATAAGCATGGAATGATGTGGTTTTTGTGATGTTTTTACAGAGACACAGCATGCTGAAGCAGCAGGACCTGAACATTGCCATGATGGTGACGTCGCGGGAGGTGCTGAGCGCGCTGTCGCAGCTGGTGCCGTGCGTGGGCTGCCGGCGCAGCGTGGAGCGCCTCTTCTCCCAGCTGGTGGAGTCAGGGAACCCTGCCCTGGAGCCCCTCACCGTGGGGCCCAAGGGGGTGCTCTCAGTCACCCGCAGCTGCATGACTGATGCCAAGAAGCTTTACACGCTCTTCTACGTGCATGGGTCAGTGTCTGCGAGTTGCTTGCGCCGTCACCGCTCTCTGCGTTGCCTTTGTGGTGGTGCTGAGTTGTCACAGCACGTTCTCCTCTTCAACATCCATAATTACAGCTCCTTGTTGCCTAAACTGGGGAAAAAGCAAAGCTAATCTTTGGTAGCACCAGTTGCAGTGCCATGATTGCAGTTGGAAGGTGGCAATATTTAATGTTGGGTCCTTAATCTGATGCAGGTGCTGCAGGGGTTTCGTGGTCTGTGGAAGAAAAGTGTTTGCCTCACTGTGTAAATAAAAGTGTTAATTTTTTCCACCAAAGTTTGCTGCACTTGGGTAGAAGGGTAACACTGAGAAAGTGAAACCTTCTGGGCTTGGTGAGCACAATAAATACCCCAGTGCCATTAGTTCCTGAGCTGTCAGCAGAGCAAACAGGGAGTGCTCAGCACAGTGTGTCTTGGCCTTCCAGTTGGCTTCAGCTTGTTCTTCTTGCTCCAGTTAGCAGGAAAAGTAGGGAAGGTTAGTGCAGAGTTGAGGAGATTGAGATGGGGAGAGTGAGGTAGTGTAACCTGATCCAGTGGTTTTGAGAATACAAAGTTCCTCACTTTTTTTTTTTTTTTTTCCATAGGTCCAAACTGAATGACATGATTGATGCAATTCCCAAAAGTAAGAAGAACAAGAGGTGTCAGCTACACTCCCTGGATACACACAAACCAAAACCTTTGGGGTAAGTCTGTGTTTAACATGCACAATTGAAATATTTCAAGGAAGCTGAGTATTGAGACTAATTTATTTTTAAGCATTGAGATCAATTTTTATGCTCTGGTCTGCTTGCCAGGGTAGCAGTTGGATTGTAGCAGACCTAAATAGTTGTTGGGGAGAGGAAGAGATGCACCAGGAGTTTTTGAGATGCTCAGGGCATGGATGGCTTCTGCACTGTGATATAAAAATCTCTCTAGAAAGACAAACTGGTTTTTGTGCTCTAGACCAAAATGGTTGCTCAGCAGATTTTCTCACATTGAGGTCAAAGGGTGCATGCTAAATAAATATACATCATTTTGCTTGGGATTATTAAAAATGCCTTGCACAACTGTTAACCAAGGGCTTTATTGTGGTTGGATGCAGGGTTAAAACTGGAACTCCATAAAATGTATTTGCTCAAAAGTGACAGCATGTTTTGAATACACCACTGAACAATATGCATATATGCCTCTGTCTTGAAGCTGAAATGATTTATTCCAGCTGGTTAAGCAGAAAAACACTCCCTGTAAATCTATTGTGGATTTTGGGGAGGTTTCTTGTTTGTGTGGTGGCTCCTTTTATTATTTTTTTTTTAATATGAGGACCAATAAATTAGTCTCTTGGGCTTAATTGGAGTGTCTGGACCTTTTTTACTCATCTGTGTTCTGCTGCTGCTTAAGCCTCCAACCTGTGAAAGCTTGCTCATGGTTTCCAGTTACAGGACATGTATTTTTCTATGCAGATTGGAGTCTCTCTGGGTTTAGTTAAATCCCCTGGGATACCAGGCATGTGGAATTTGACACTCGATTTTTGCTTGTGCTGCTTGAGGATACTGGGAACTAATCATTATCTTCTATTATATTTTGGTTATAGGCCTTTCAGAAAATTAGTTTAAAGCTTGTGTTACACAAGATCCTGAGAGTATAGGGGTGTAGATATATATATTTATTTTTTAAATAAAGCAAGTTCATAGCATCATGAAAGTGGTTTTTGGGGTTTTTTTATATTTAGTAAGCTTAATCTTTTCTGTGTGAGAACAGATGCTGTGGAACCTGCAGTTAGCACATGGGCAAGGTAGAACAATTCTGAAGCTGAATGAATAGAGAGGAGAATGCTGCTTTTATTTCCTCAATTCATGCTGGAATAAACCCCCTTTGGATGCTGGCAGGTTAATAGGGAATATGAGGAAGAGCAATATTTTATACTCTGCAGGTAAAACCTTGGGGTTATCAGAGAACATGGCCTGTGGACAAGCAGTGCAGTTTGCTAAAGAAGCAGGACTTTCATTCCCCTCCTCAGCTAAAACCCAGAGTGTATCAGCTTTTATATAAATTCAAATAAATCTGCCTGCAGTGGGCACAGACAGGCTCTGGCTGGGCTGTCACAGAACAAACTTCATTTACCAACACACAGCTCCTGCTCCACATCTTTACTCCTGAAGAAACTCCTACAGATGAGTTGCATCTGCTGGGCATTTCCTCCACACAAAAAAGGCTTTGAGCTGGAGCTGTGTGTTTAATTAGAGGAGTTATGTAAGCAGCTAATGCCACTCGAGGGTTCTTGGTGTCCTCAGTCTGTGCCTGGCTTTTGGCTCCTCAGCTCTGTTTGGGGCTCAGGAGCATTTGAAACTCTCCTAAATGCAAGCCCTGTGACCTGGCAAACTGGGTAATGGCACACAGAACTCCTCTAATTAGGAAACAGGGCTGCTTCTTCCCATTTTCCTGCTCTGTTGTGTCCATAAGACAGAAATGACCATTCTGACAAAGTGTCAAGTGTAGACAAGCCTGTAAGTAACCATGGCTTGTTATTTAAAGTCCATTTTTCTGCTCACTTTTAGCACATCCAGATGTGAGTAGTCAAGTTACTTTGATATTCTAACAAATTTTTGAAATTTGAGGTAGGATGTCTTATGGTGAAAGTTGTTTGGGTTTTTTTTTTGTTTTGCTTTTTTCTTTTGTTATTTTACCAAACTGTCTTCAGCTGACAAATATTAAAACTCTAATTTGTTTATACTTAAAGCAATATTTTGAATATCACAACTGGTTTGCAGCTGTAACATTAGAAAGTCATGGTGAGTCTGGGCTATAAACATGGACAGCAAAATTTGCATCTCAGTTCTGACCCAAACTTTCATAGATGTTAAGGCTTAACCTATAAAGAATTCAAATTAAATTAAGGAACAGATCAGCATTTTCCATAGGATTCGTTTAGGAAGAATAACTAGCTGATAATATATATGTTATAGGTCTGAAAAATGTTTGGTAATACTATGTGACAGTGAAAGGAGCAGTAGCAGACTCAGTTCAAAGAAAATAAGAGCAGTTAAGAAAAGTAGAGAAGACAGGAAGAGGAAAGAGAACAAGTGTAGCATCATTTTCTGCTATGGACCTTCCCAGGGAGCAGTCAGGTAAAGAATGAGGCTCTGCTGGGCTGCTTTGCTGCCTCCCAGCAGGATTAGGAAGAGTTTGGTGTCGTTTCCATGCAGGGGTTGCTGGATGGATGTGTGGGAGCTGATGTCCCAGGAGTGCAGGGATGAAGTGGTGCTGATCGACTCCAGCTGCCTCCTAGAAACCTTAGAAACCTACCTACGAAAACACAGGTATGTGAGGGCAGCACAGCACACCTTCCCTGGGGGAAATACTTGGCTTTTGGGAGATCAAAATGTCCAAAATGTAGAGGGCTTTGTCTTGTGAAGCTGAAGATGTCAGCTTGGTGGGGATGGGGGACTTTGCCTTGCAGTTGATGTGACAAAGATGGTGGAATATTCTTTTGTCTAATGAAAGGGAAGATGTGGAGACCTCTGATGAAGTCATAGCTGCTTGTCTTAATTTTTTTGGCTAGGATTAAATGATGGTTTACAGTTTAATGTTTAGAAACTGTGTTCTCATTCACTCTTTCTCTGCTCTTGGGTTGTGCCTGTTTTTAGGCTTTCAGGGAGCGTGTGCCATTTCAGAATCCTGTGAACTGTACTAGTGCAAGCAGATTTTAGGCTTGGTGTTGCCTTTAAAGTAGTGTTTTAAACCACTTATTTATGCCTGGTGCTGTTAAATCTCTCTTGCAGGGCAGAAATAAACCATTAAATTATAGTTGCATGTGCACAGGACCTGCCGTGCTGATTGAAAAGTTTTAATTTCCAGCAGTCTCAAGGTTCTGATATCAACTGTGGGGGCACAGATGGGCGCGGGGGTGGTGGTGCTGTGGAAATAACACTTTGGAAACAAAATAACTTTAATCTCCTGTGACATTAAACACTGCCTTGGCTGCCTTCCTGGTGCTAACCTGCAATAATATTGCTGTTTTCTCTCCTTCCACTGCAGAAAGCAGGCAGGTATCGTAGGTCTAACAGCAAAATATGTTTGATTTAGTGCTGTCAAATGGCTGGAGACACTAGGAAAGGGAAAAACACCATCCAGGGCTGGCATGGGGAGCCAGCTTTGAGCTGAAATGTGAGCAGCTTGTCTGACTTGCATTTTTAGAGTCATCCAGCAAGATATCTTGTGGCCTCTTGAAGGTTACTCCTCTTATGACACAGAATGAGCTTAATTTGCTTGTATTTTAATTATAAGTGTACTCCTGTCACACATGAGCTGTCACATGTTTAAAATGAATGTGTTGTGTTATAAATAACCCTCGTTTGGCCATCAGCACAGCAATCTAATAATTCAAAATATGTTTGTGGTGGAAACAAGGATCACTCTTGTACAGCAGGCACCAGAGGATACTTTGCCTTGTTTCTTATCACTCACTTGAGTACACTTGAAAGAATTGTTAGAAGGTGATGTGGTATGTGTTACTTGAGAGAGGGATTTTGCTCTGGTTTGCAGTACTTGCTCACTGCTGAGATTTCTGGTCTTTGAGTTGAATTCCGTGTGGGAATTTCTTCAAATCAAGGATTCGCTGGTGGGCTGCACTCCATGGGTCAGAGGACAGAAGTTTGATATCCAGGTTAATAACGTAGAATAGATGGGATAATTCTGGTCAGTTTAGGTGGATCATAGCCAGAATACTGTAATAATTACATTTTTGAAGCAGCACAACCCTCCTGCTCCCCAATTCAACCCCACCACCGCACACCCGGCGCGTTCGGTCGAACCCAACCTCCTTCCGTGCTTCCCCCCAGATTCTGCACCGACTGCAAGAACAAAGTGCTGCGTGCCTACAACATCCTGATCGGGGAGCTGGACTGCAGCAAGGAGAAGGGCTACTGTGCTGCCCTGTACGAGGGGCTGCGCTGCTGCCCCCACGAGCGCCACATCCACGTGTGCTGCGAGACCGACTTCATCGCGCACCTCTTGGGCCGGGCCGAGCCCGAGTTCGCAGGAGGGTATGAGTATGTAATTGGCTAGAGTGGGCTATCTAGCGCTTTGCTTCTTTATTTGACTCTTCAATGTCTTTGCCCAAAGTGGCTTTTTTTTGCCTCTTTGCTGCGTGATGAACTCGTGGTTGTGGATATCTTGTACTGGTGTAGACTCGGAGAGAGCGCTTCGGAAGGTTTCGGCTGTGCTTTGGAAGGAAGAAGTGACCAAATGTTGTTCGCTCCCTGGAGCTGCCTGCTTGTCCACTGAGGTGTTCAAATATGCGAAATAGAAAGAGAGCTTTGGTTGAGTTTTGCCAAATGCCAAGTATTCAAGTTAGTTTTGTTGCCATTTGTGTATTTCTGAGCCTTTTTTAAAGCGTCTTAAAACCATCCAGTGAAAAGTTCGGAGCTCAGTATTGGAGAACTGTAGAATGAGTTGGAAGTGACATTAAAGATCATCTAGTTCCAACCTCAGTACCTTTAAAGCTCAGTCATAACTGTTTAATGAGGAGGGTAAATCCTTTCATAGTAGTTTTCCCTTAACAGATTGATAGATAATAGATGAATAATGAACAGATTAATACTGAAATGTTTTTACTCTGCACGGTAAGTAATGTACAAAATTCCCTGTGTGTTTATTCAGCTTGAGCTAAGTGATGGTGAAATAATTGCTGTGAATTCCAGCAAATTTTAGGACCCAAAAGAATGCACCTCTGGCATTTAAACTCTTGATCCCTCTGAGGAAGAGCAGGATATGGCACCTGAAGCCAGAGGTGGCATAGTGAGAAGGCAGAGTACTGCTTCACAGTGGTGGCTTTGACCTGTTCCTTTCTATTTTGCATCTGCATGCAGCACAGCAGAGCCCTGCCAGGCTGCTCCTGCAAACACAGCTGCAGCTGTGCCTCCAGAGAACACATCAGCCCTGCTTTGATCCCTAGGTTGGCTTCTAGCTGCTCTAACAATGCTCTGGTTCCCCTTTCCCCCAGACGGAGAGAGAGGCACGCCAAGACAATAGACATAGCCCAGGAGGAGGTTCTCACCTGCCTGGGCATCCACCTCTACGAGAGGTTGCACCGGATCTGGCAGAAGCTGCGGGCTGAGGAGCAGACGTGGCAGATGCTCTTTTACCTGGGGGTCGATGCTTTACGCAAGAGCTTTGAGGTAAAAACGTCGAGTTTTGTCCAACTTGTGTCCGAGTTGCTGGGCCTCTTGTCACTGTAATTCATTTTCTGCTTTTCAGGGCTGGAAGGAGGGTCAAGGGTGTTGCAGTCAATCCCTTGTTGAGTTGTGTGACATCCATGCACAGCACTACTGGAGTGTGTTCCCATGTGGAATAAACTGGAATATAAAAGATTGAGGCTTGCTTTTACTTTCAAGCTGCCCATTCCAGTACACTGAACCTTCTGTGTTATTAGTTCTGTTTTTCTACCTGATTGCATTTAAAGTAGCTCAGGCTACAACAGTTTTTGGTTGGTTTGTGAGTGAAAATGGAGGATGTGCTTTTGAATTACTAAAGTGGTTGCAAACTCTTGTGTTCAGCTTGTTCTGAATGCACTCTGATCCTGTGGGATCCTGAGCTTCAGACAGTTCCTTTAACATATACCAAAACTCATTATTAATTACCAGTTTATATGACATGGATATCTTTTTTGTTATGTTCATCTTCCATTCATAACTGTTCTCTCTAAAAGCCTCTAAAACACCAGAGAAGGAGAAGGAAAATCAGTTTGGGAATGATCACAGTGGAACCTTGAGCTGGTTAGTTCTTGGAGTTTTTTTTAATCCCACAGGATCAGAGATCACTGATCCAACAATGCATTAAAATCTGCAGCTCTTCACTGAAAAATGTGAATCTGGGCCATAGGTGCAAGCCAGAGCCCCCCGACACATGAGTTTCCAGCAGTCTAAACCAAGTGGCTGCATCTTGGTGGGCATTTTTCTCCTGTAGCCAATAGTTGGTGCTACTGGGGTTTCATTCCTGGCTGTTTCCCTCCTCCTGTTTTATAAATGAAAAAGCTTGAACTGTGATGACTTCTGTAACTGGATCTAACCTCTTGTAAACAGATGGCTGTGGAAAAAGTGCAGGGCATTAGTCGATTGGAGCAGCTCTGTGAAGAGTTTTCAGAAGAAGAGAGAGTGAGAGAGCTTAAACAAGAGAAGAAACGCCAAAAGCGGAAGAACAGAAGGAAAAATAAATGTGTGTGTGAGATCCCTGCTCCTCTGCAGGCAGCAGAAGAGAAGGAAATCAATCAGGCAAAGGTAAACATGGGTAGCTGGGGCTTTTTGGGGCTTCATCCATCAGCTCACTGTTCCATGGTAGAATTCTTGAGGGATTTTCTTGTATTTTGGTCCCTGGTGGAATTGAATGCTCTTTCAGATGAGCAGAGTCTTTGTAAAGTAGTTACCTGGGACTCCTCAGCTTGTGGGGTTTTTTTAAATCATAAATCTGAGGTTCAGGTTATGCCAGTCACTCAGAACCTGGGGATTCAGATGCTGCTTGTAGACAATTACCAGTGGATTTTTGGAGAGGGGGAATCTTGGAGTGCATTTATTATTCAGGATCTCTTGGCTGACCTTAATGGGCTGTGCCTGTGGGTCAAGGTAAATTGGTTGGGGTTTTGTTTAGTTGTGTCGTACTTGTGAAGAATTCTAAGCAATGCTGTTATCAGTCAGTGTCAGCTGGTTTTTCTCATGGAAAGAGTATCCTTTACAAAAGTGCTGGCTGAGCTGCTTTCAGTGCCTGCAATGTTTTTTGTTTCTGTTTGAAGGAGAACTCAAACTTCACGGAAAGCAGCTGCAAAGCCTGTGGTAGCACCGAAGAAGCCAACAACTGTGTAGAAGTAATTGTTACTAATGAAAGCACTTCTTGCACTTGTCCTAGTAGTGGTACCCTATTAGGCTCACCTAAAATCAAGAAAGGTATGTTAAATGTCAGTATTGTTCATTTTTAAAAAGCATTTGCCATTTATGGGGTGAACAGTGGTCACCTGTTTTTAAAAAGGTGGAGGTGGAATGAGGTGATTTTTAAGGACACTTCCAACCCAAACCTGTCTGGGGGTTCTCTGAATTCTCTCTTGTTAGAGGCATAACTAAAGAATGTGCAGCAGTTCCTACAGATGGCAGTAATTTTGGCCTCTGTCTCAGGTTTATCTCCACACTGTACTGGCAGCGACTGTGGCTATTCCTCGAGCATGGAGGGCAGCGAAACGGGGTCCCGGGAGGGCTCGGACGTGGCCTGCACTGAGGGCATCTGCAACCATGATGAAAATGGTAGGTTTGGGAAGAAGATAATGATGCTTTAATATCCCCAGAGCTGCAGCATCTCAAAAGAAACTTGGCTGTGTTTTGCAGGGGACGATGCCTGCGTCCATCGCTGCGACGACAAGGAGGAGGATGGAGACAGCTGTGTGGAGTGCTGGGCTAATGCAGAGGAGAGTAACACAAAAGGCAAAAACAAAAAGAAGAAAAAGAAAAGTAAAGCTTTGAAGTGTGAGAATGACCACGTAAGGAACATGGCTCTACCAGATGCTTCTCTAAGTGCTTACATTTGAAAGTAGTTGCAGAAGGATTTTAAATTCTGATTGAGACTTATGCTGAAAATGGGACAGCAGGGATCTCCTGTTCCCTTGTCATCCCAAGTTTTGGAATTGAGGTCCTTCCTCTAGGTTAGGTTGTGGTGGAGTCTCTTCTGTGTTCCTAAGCATGTGCACTTCTACTCACTCTCAGTGAATGTGCCACCCCCAGCTCCCCAGGCACATGTTTAAGTATAAATCTCTACCCTTGCTCACCTTTGAACCTTTCTCTTTTCCCTCTGCTTCCGTCTCAAACAGGAGTGTTCCACATGAAACACTGCTGGCAGTTGATTGCAGGCTCTTTTCCGTTTCAGATTCAGAAACTTGGGAGCTGTCTGGCAGATGCAGGTAGCAGAGAGACCTCAGGAAATCTCACGCACACAGAGTTTCACCGCGACAAGACCAAAGACACACACGCTGAGAGCTGCTGTAGCGCAGACAAAAGCGGCCAGCAGTTGCCTTGGTTTGAGCATATGAAAAATGTGTCACAGTTTGCAGAACCTACAGAAATGTCACTTGTCCCTGATACTGGAAAAGGTGCCAAAAGCTTAGTGGAGCTCCTTGTAAGTAAATGCTGCATTTGAGTTTTGGGTTGTAGCATTTAATCTTTGGGGCTGAGAACTCAACTCCTGGTGAGGAATTGAGTCCCAGTGTTGAGTTCAGTTCCTTGTGCACGTTCCCTGAGAAGTTTATAATTGAATGCTTTGCAGAGGAGGAGAAATGGTCGCTGGAATGCAGTGACAGAACTTGTGTTGCAAGTGCTCATTGTCAAGGATTGCATTATTCTGAAACATGAAGTGGGCATTATTGCTGCCTTCAGGCCTCAAATGTGACTTCAGGCTCCTTGGGCAGCTTTCACCTCTCTCCCTCCTCCTCCTCCTCCTTCTTCTCCTCCTCCCATTTATTTATTTACTTTGCTCTCTTTCCCTGCTTTTTCCTTTTCTTTCCTTTCTTTTTTCATCTCCCCACCTCTCAATTTTCTCTCTCGCCACCCTCCTTTTTTTCCCTTTTTCTTTCCCCACCTTTCCCCCCAAAACCCTCTAATAAAATCCATCCTCTTCCCATGGGAATGTGCTAAGACTGAAGCAGATTTGGATCCATTTAATGACTGAATTGGCTGCTTCTCACCCCAAACCAGCAGAGCCCTGTGTGAATCTGGATCATCCAGCTGGGCTTTGGGCTGGGGTCAGATGTGCTGCACAGGAGGGCAGTGCTGGAGCTCTGAAATCCCTCTTCTCGTTGCAGGATGAGTCAGAGTGCACTTCTGATGAGGAACTGTTCATCTCCCAGGATGAAATCCAATCCTTCATGGCAAACAACAAGTCTTTCTACAGCAACCGGGAGCAGTACCGGCAGCACCTGAAGGAGAAGTTCAACAAGTACTGTCGCCTCAACGACCACAAGGGGCCCGTCTGCAACAGCTGGCTGGCAACAGCTGGAGCCAACTGAACCCAGTCCAACTCTGTCTGTCACTGAAACTCGAGATGACTACTGCGCCTTCTCCTTCCAAACTTAATTTAGTGACTTACGGCAAAATTTTATCTTAAATTAATGTGATTCTTTTTTTTTTTTCTTGGTTTTTTTTTTTTCAGGGGGAGGCTGGTGGAGGTGATTTCCTTAATTTTGTTCTTTCTCCAGGCTTGTATCTTTAGTTGAGTAGCTGTGCAAGCCTCTCTTCTAATTTAAGCCATCTCTTTTCATTCAATGTTTCTCTTCCTGTGAGACTTACAAAAAGCAAACTAGTGGCAAAGTAATGTTGTACCTATAATTCTGTACAGAATGACAAGGAGCTGAATATAAGATTTTACAAAGTAGACATCCATTTGCAAAATGTTTTGGATGTAATATGTTAAAGCGCAATGTGCAAAAATTTAAATAAAGAATATTTATTAATATGCATAGTAAAGGTGAGTGTCTATGTTTGTACTCTGAGTGCTCAATTCCTGCGGCTCAGGTGGGGGTAAGGTGAGGAAAGCTGGTCTGGGAAAGGACAAATCCTTGAAAACCAGGCTCTGTGCTCCTCCAGGGATGTGGTTTGGGGATGTGGGGTTGCTGCCAGCCCAGCAGGGACTGTGTTGGTGGCACGGTCCCAACCTGGCGCTGCTCGGCATCAGGTGCCTGTTCTGCTTCCAGGAGCTGGGATAAGGGATGGCCACGGCTCTGCTCTGGGAATCCTGGCTCAGGGCTGTGCCCAAGGGCAGCACGCTTGGGGAGGGGGTTGGATTTGGAAGGGTGCAGCTTGGGCCGTTTTGGGGGCATTGTTAAATCCCACCCTTTTCTTTCATCAATTCAATACCTATCCTTCTGCCTCTTCTGTTCCAATTAATTTCCTCACGCATTTCTGGGAATTATTTGTGCATCCTTAGCCCTGGGGAGGGTGATAACACCCCTTCCCCACACCCATTCCACCCCTCTCCAACCCCCCTTGGCTGCTGCCTCTCTGCTCCGCTCTCCCTCCCGCACCTTTTCATGCCGGCCAACAAAAACCCCAAAAACCCGCGCTCCCATCTGGAGCTGCGCCCCGCCAAAACTCAGCGCCCCGAGACCGCGTCCCCATGGGCGGGGCCGTGTCCGGGGCGTGTCCCCAGGGCGTGGCATGGGCGTGGCATGGGCGTGTCCCGGGGGCGGGGCCGGCGGGCGGGCGGCGCTTTGTGCGCGGCGCGGGCGGCGCTGGGGCCGTGCCGGGGCCATGGAGCGCTGGACCGGCCGCGTCGCGCTGGTCACCGGCGCCTCCGTGGGCATCGGCGCGGCCGTGGCGCGGGCGCTGGTGCAGCACGGCATGAAGGTGGTGGGATGCGCCCGCAGCGTCGACAAGATCGAGGTATACCGGCGGTGACGGCTGCGGGGCGGGGGCCGCCTCCCCACGAGGCCCGGCCGGGCGCTGACACCGCTCGGGGGATGCTCGACCCCGGCTGCTCCTGGCTACCGAGCCCTTAGAGCGGGGGGAAGGTGTCCGAGCGAGGAGCGGGGTCAGTTTTGGGGTTTGTTTTTTTTTTTTTTTTTTTTTTTTTTTTTTTTTGTGCTGTTGCTTATCGAGGTTAAAAATAGCATCTCCCCGGGAGCGGGATGGGGCTGCGGGCGCTCGGGGATGCGGCTGCTCGGGAGGCAGGGAGGTGGTGTTAAAACAGGCTTCGGTCCTGCCAGGAGCATCTCCAGAGCTCCGGCAGAAACCTGATGGCGCTGGCTTGGGAATAAAGATGCTTAAAAGAAGTGTTTTCCTGCGATCCTTGTTGTGCGTCGGTCAGCTGTGCCTCGCAGCGGTTTTTTTGCCATTTAGGAAGTTTCCTCTGAGGGTGGAAATAAGTTTTAGTCATCTCAAATGTTGCCATGCTGGGTGTTTGGAGCTGAAGGAGACCTGTGCAATATCCAGGGCTGTGTGTCCCTAGCCGAGGTGGTAAGGGCTCTGCACAGCTACCTGCACTGGGAATAAATGCTCCAAAATTCCTGGAAACCAAGCCTTGACATCCGTGGCGTTGCTAAGTGGGGTTGAGTGAAGAAATGCTCGGGAAAATCCAAACTTTTCCCTTTTTTCATTGCGAAGGATCCACTTGCAGAGAGGAGAGAGCACCAGCGTGACTTAGTGCACCGTCCTTTGGGGCTGCTGCTAATTTTGGACGTGGCAGCGTTTTGGTGCTGCGGTTTGCAGGGAGAGCTGAGCCCTCCAAAGCCTTTCCCACGTGCAGCTGCGGTGTTGGATGTGCCGGAGCCTCGGGGTGCCTGGCAAAGGATGCTGCAGAGGATGTTGTCGCTTCCCATTCCCCTGCAGAAAGTTATTTCCAATATTGCTGTTTCCAGTAGCGCCCTTATCTCGGATTTTCTTCTGGAATCTTTTCATTTGGGAAAGAAATCAGTGCAACTTGTGTTTTCCTTCGGCGTTCACGTGGGTTTCCTTCCTTTCCGAACCTTTCCCGGCCAAAACACGGCGTGGGTTTAAAAACCAGCAGTGCTGCAAAAGGCTTTGTGCTTTGATTTGAATGTGCACCAGGGCAATCACTCCTGTATTGATGATTGATTGATTGATTGATTGATCGGGTTTGCAGGTGTCCTGTGCTGTCTCAGACACGTGTCCCCACAGCAGCTGGTGTTTGTCCCCATTCCCTCCCTCCTCTCTGGGACCCGAGTGTGTCTGCAGTGCTGTCATTTGTTTTGGTGGGTGTCTGGATTGTGTTTTGCTGCGCTGCTATTCTGGGTTTATTTATTGTCCAGCATGTTTCCTTAACGAGGAAGAAAATCCCAGCGGGGAAGGGAAGGTGCTGGAGCGTGGGGGGATCCAGGGTCACTGTGGGAACAGCTCTGTCACCTCCTGGCTGCCAGGGATGCTGTGGGAACTTTGTACCCAACCCTGCCGTGCTTCAGAGCAGGGCTGTTCATGGAGCTTTCCTCCAGGAGATTCACCTTGAGGCTTTTCCTTAAAAAAAAAAAAATTAAAATAGGAAGATAGCCAGACTAGGATGTGTTGGGTTTGACTGGGGGGGATTTGAGGGATGCTCTGAGGGCTGGAACACAGAGATGGAGGGAGAAGAGGAATGTGAAGGAGCCAGAGCATCACAGCCATAGTTAAGAGAATTATGGAATCCCAGGTGGTTTGGGTGGGAAGGGACCTTATAAACCATCCATTCCAACCCCCATGGCAGGGACACCTTCCACTGTCCCAGGGGCTCCAAGGAAGCTTGATGTGGAAAGAGGGCACACAGCAGGGAGTAAAACCTGGAATACAGAGCTCACAAAAACATCACATTTCATTAAAGTTCATGAAGGTCACGGGTTTTAAGGTGAAATGGCTGGAACCCCTGTGTGAGGTGGTTTTGTAACCTCCAGCTAACTGAAAGAGCAGGTTGTCTAGTGGGGATTTAGCTCGGGCAATAAATGCTATGTCAAGATTTCTTAATCTCTTGGAAAATCAGATAAGGGCTGGAGGCAAGATAACGAAGGATTTGCAAAGTTGCGTGTTTGGCATTAAACCCGTGTCACAACTCCAGTGGTCTTTATTTGGCTTTTGAAATAAAAATGGTAATGGCTCACAAAAAAAGCCCCAAAAAAAACAAAACTGCAGAAGGATCTTTTTGGTTTTTTTTTCCTTCCAGTGGCTCCACTGGCCACGTTTCCCTCTCTGCTCAAGCAGCCCCGTGCTCCCCACTCCTGCTGCTGCAGACTCTTCATGTGGGTCATCAGGCAGGAGCTTCAAACAGTCAGACGTCGAGGAATAAAATATAATTAAACTGGCTGTATTTTCCTTCTGCATGCCAGGAGGTAATTCAGGTTGAAGGCTTGTTTTAAATGCAGAGCCTGGAGGTACTAACAGCTGTCAAGGACTTCTTGGCGTGCGCTCAGAGAGCGTTTGCTGCTCTCCAGACACCGCCACGCGTTCCAAGTCAGGAGCTTTAATGAAGCAGCCAAGTGTTTTTAGCGGCTTGGAAGAGAAGGTTTTGGGGTGGAAATGCTCCTTGGGAGATGATCACCCTCACAGAGACCCCCTTGCTGCTCCTGGGGTCTCCAGGGTGCAGAGACTCGCTGGGATTTGCAGCCACAGCCGCTCGGGTGCTCCTCAGCTTCCCCCTGCTCCTCCTCGTGTTTTCCAGGAATTTGTGTTTGGTGTCTGGCTTCTTGCAGCGGCACAAAAAAGGGGAGAATTTGCACATGCATGGGACAAAATGTTCCTGCCCTCCCAGCTGGCAAAGCCCTCCCTGGTCTTTTATTCAGTGAGATATGTGAGTTTTATTTTGCAGGGTTTTTCCCCAGGGTGGGGAAGAACTGAGAGGGTTTTTCTGGCTCAGAGGGACTCTGCAGCTTTTCTCTTGCAGCACAGGAAGGCAGGAGACAGGGAGCTGTTTCCAAGGGGTTTGCAGTGATGCTGGTACTATGCTTCTTTTGTAATTAAAATTGATTTATTTTCTATTTCTAGAGAATGGCAGCAGTGCTGGCAGGTGCTCTCCCTCCATCCATGGTGTCAGAGCCCTGGATCTGCAGCGTGCCTGGGGCTGCCACTGGTGGGAGATGCTCCAGGTGGGACACTCCCAAAATCACTGGAAACCTTCCAGCAGCTCGTTTGTCTTGCTCTGGTGTGACCAGGGACACCATGGATGCCGTGTTCCAAAAGAAATCCATTTTTTCCCCCTGCCTTTGTTGGCGTGCTGAGAGCAGAGCCGTGCAGGAAGCAATAAATGTGACTTAAGATACAAGGTTTAACCAATTAATTCCAATGCATTTGTGACAGGTATTGATCAAAGGTAACATTTATAACCAGGGCCTGCTTTGTCAAGGTTAGATCTTGCTCGGGAAACAGCCTTTGATAAGCTGAGCAATTGATTGCAGGTTGGAGCAGCCCAGGCTCTGAGCAGGCTGTTGGGAGGAGGAGGAAGGAGCTGAGTCTTCCTCGTGGGATCTGAGCATCCATTTTTGGGCTCTCTGGTGGCTTCCATGAACCCTGAGGTGCAAGGGAGGCTCTGGACCCCGTGGGTGCTCCTAGGAGGGTAATTAACAGTGTGTTTAATTCCCTGCAGGCAGATCAGCCGATGGTTTAGAGGTCACCTGCTTCCATTTTGGCATTTTGTCTGTCCCTGCTGGGTCTGTCCCTCTGCCCAGCAGCTGGGGTGGCTTTCCTGGGCTGTTCCCACAGGTTTCCCCAGTCCCGAGGCAGGATAATCCCAAGGCCTGTGGAGTGAGTGACCTTGGGAGCCTCCTTGGCCCCTGGCAGGGATTGTTCTGTGTTTGGCCAAGGCTTTGCCTTGGATGGTGGGCGCTCAAGGCCTCTCAAGTGCTTTTATTGCCACTTGTCCCTGACCAGATCCTGTCCTGATAAACAGCTGAGATCCCATCATTGCTGTCAGAGTGGGGGGAACAAATACTTCTCTGTCCTCATGGTGTTCCTCAGCCTTGAAACTCAGGGGGTTTAAACCGGG